TGTTGGTTTTGTGTTGCTCATAATACATAACATTAAAACCAGATATATTTTGCTTTTTTTTAAATACAAGTAAAAGATTTAAGTTTCTTTCTGATACTATCTATCACTTGGCAGAAAACAGGAATATTATTCCCCATTGCTGTTATTGCAACAAGGATTAAAATTGTTTTATTACAAACAATTGAAATCAAAGTAGCTTCCCATTAATGATATTTGCATTAATTTTATATTATTGATTTTGAACCAAGGGTGAGACTACCTTACTCTCTAGCAATGACTAGATATAGAATATGTCATTTTATTGGTTTTTGGCTATACATATCTTGTTTTATTTTACTATTTTGAGATATCTTTTAGCGGTAAGCAAACCACCCCCCCTCTCCACTACAAGCTGTACTTATTTTTCTACTATAATGTGATCAAGGGACTTTGCAGCCATTTGGAGTCCCCTCAGAACCGGAGGCTTGAGGCGAACCGCCACCTCTGCCCCCCTTAGTCCATCACTGATAATCATCATTATTTATCATTCGTACGTCGTTATTAAAGTAAATTTAAAAGTATTCAAATTAAACGAAATAACGCTACAACAGAGCTAAGATGTCGTACCCTATAGCTAAAACCATAGCTACTTGGGATATTTTTAAAAAACTACGAGTAGTTCATGTTGGTATTAAAATTTTTGACAGTGTCTAAGAACACTAGCTTAAAAATAGAATTTATCAGTATATTGATGTATCACACGAGACTTTTATTTATCATGAAAAAGAGGCGTCTGAGGCTACAAAAAGATCAGTCTCGAAGGCAACAACGAAAATTATTCCGTATTACACTCAGTTATACAAAAAGGAAACGTGGTAAAAATAAAATCAACAATTTCAAAATGTATAGGTTTTTATTTATCTACATATAAACACAGGTGTACGATGCGGGTATTGCCGAATAAAACTTACATCTAAGAGACCAGTGCGTTACACAACATTTAACTTTACAACAAAATAAATATCCCTCAAATCGCATAGTCTTTGGCACAATATCTTTGAATAGGACAAAGACTCGATTCCATCATTCAGTTCTTTAGTAATACTACATTAAAATATACATACTTTACATTTCATTGCTACTCACTGTCGACGAAAATATTATCTATTATTAAATATGAATTTTTATTTAAATTACATTACTAGAAAAATATGTTTAATTAGAACATACTATAAAGCGGGTGTCGGGTGAAAAGAAAAGCTATAATCTTATGATATACTTACAACGGGTTCCGTCGACAATGCACAAAACAAAAATCTTATGAAGGAGAAAATATTGTGACGATGAATATTACTTAACTATTATTCAGTATATTTTTATACCACTGGTAACATTAATTTCCTTGAAAATTGACAAAAATCACTTTTTGAATCTACGAATTTAACCCTTAATAGGATACAAATAATATTAATGTATCTTAGCAAATTATAAAGGATTAGATAGATAGAGACTTGGTGATAAGGGTGCCATTCTATTAAAAGAGAGCGCTGTGATATTGCCAATAAAATTCCCGTAATCTATGTTTTCATCGCTCTGTTTCAATCGTGGGCGTCTTTGGTTGGTACTGCATAAGGATAGGAGAGGGCAGTGACAAACGGAATAAAATAATATTATTATATATAGATTGGGGCAAAGACGACATAGTGCAGCAGAGAGCAGAGTGGCTAAGCCGGGTAGATAGAGCGGAATCGTCCAACTTATATGTGTGATTAAATTGCTTTACATTCTGTTCTATCTCAATAAAATCCTACGTAGCCGAGTGGTTCGTACGCCGGTTTCAATCTCTGAGGTCCCGAGTACGATCCTAGTCGGGTCAATATATAAAAAAGGACTTTTCTATAGTGTCTCGGGTATGAGTGTTGTAGTGCCTTCGTTGTCTCAGATACTTCTCGAGGCTTAAGATACTCTGTATCTGTGCAATGTAAGTGATGTTTTTTAAAAATATACTGTTATAAATAAACAGAAACAACTTGTATTGTGAATGAAACTATTATTATCTGCTTCAATAGAATGCCACCCTAAAATTTGATGACAATAATTAAGATTAACCAAAATCTTATTTTATTTGTTTGTATAAAGTTACCTACTTCCAAAAAGTTTTTCATTAACCATTCGCATAAATCAGCATCTTTTTCTGACGATCAAAATCATGTTGATTATACAATAACTCTAATAGTAATGTGCATAAAATTAATATATATATTCTATAATCAACCAAGGAATAAATGATACAAGCTCTCTTATAACATAATTTGCACCTAATATTCATATATCTATTGAGACAGAAATCTCATCTAAGTACGACAATATAGTTTTATACATTAAGGTGACCTTAAATTTTAAAATTGACTACATTCTTATAAATGACAAGAAAATATAATCTAAAAAAAACATTGAGTATTATTAGCAATCCATAATGTCCTTTCGGTGGTAGATCGGAACAGGATATGTTGGTAAATACGTATAACAATTTATTATTTACAAATGGCTTTCGTTTACTTGATTACAGATTTGAGTAATATATAATTTTCAATTGAAATGGAAATATAATTGATTATCAATTAATTTTCATCAAGATTTTATCGGCATTTTCTCAAATGCAAAATTTTAGACTAATTTTTTTTTTAAAGTCGTTAATTTTACCGTAACCGAAAAATATCACCATGTAACAAAAATTACTTTATAAAAAATGAGATTACGAAACATATTTCTATACTAATCATTCCATTACAACCATCCAGGTATTTCAAAATGGAGCTAACACTTTTTTTAATCACACAGCCTATTTTATGGTACAGAATCATCACAATATGCTACATTGGTTCCATTAGAGACTACTTTTCGATTAATCTCCTACTTAATAGTTCGAAACTATGACACAAACAGACAAATTCTGCTAATGTTTTATTAATTATTAATTCAATGTCTTCCTCACACGTCTATGGTAACAGATATATAATAATATGCAGTAAATGTACACATCAACAGAGTTAGTCTGAATAAATAGCAAATGGCCAAAAAGAGGCAGTGGCTAAAACCGGGTCTAATGGCCAAAAAGAGGCAGTGGCCAAATCCAGGTCTTGTATTAGTATTATTATCATATAAAAATATCATGTTTTATGTGGATGTGTCGTGCTCGGATTGCGGGCAACGACTTTTCCACCAGAAACTATGTGATTTTATTGTACCAGAGCATATAATCTCGACATCGATAGCGATCGCAGAGTTCACTGACAGAGGAAACTAATAAATATAGCGAAATTGACAGTCGCACTCGGTACGTGCATAACATATAACAATATACTTAACTGTAGACTTTCAATGATCGTTAAATTATGATAGCGCTTTGTGTTAGCGATCGAATTCGGAAATATTGCGATCGGATTCGGAAATATAGCGATCAGATTCGGAAATATAGCGATCGCAAACTCTATCGAGACTGCATCCCCAGGATAGGCAACGATTGCGTCAGCAGAAAGCAGACCATGACCGAGCCTTGTCACTATGATATAAAATCAATACATATGATTGTGTCGTCCGACAGATTAAACAAAACTGTCAAAATTTTCCACTTGATATTAAGCCTTAATGCATTGATGGCAGAGTAAATAATAGTACATTTATTTGAAAATAATTCTTACAGTGCAGTTGTAGGTAAAAAAGAATTTGATATATAACCCTTGATACAGGTTACCAATTCAACTTTATCATTGGAATTAATTGGATCTACATTTCTAATTACAAAGTATGTATGTGCTTTGTATGTAGGTATTTTTGTGTGGGTCGATCAAACAGTGTTTGTTTGTCATTGTGTAAGTTCAAGGTCAATTAAGGAGAAAATTGTGCCTGTGCTGTTTTGTGCGTACTTATAAATATATAATGTCAAGGCTCTAGTAACTATACCAACAGAAGATAGTCTTGATTTTCACAATTATTGTTTTAAATTGAGACTGGAATTTGGTGCAACTGTCCTTTTCAAATAAGGCTCAATTATGAGAAAAAACGTTATAAATCAATGTGAATATGACAGAAAGTCCCTTCTATTAATTTTAACTATGGTCATTACATTTTGCCTCTCCATTCTACTGCGTCTTATGGGTTACAAAACAATTCTGCAAAAAAATGACTACCACGACCTAGAAACATCGGTATTAAACACCATTTTACTAAGACACTTTAAATTCTACATTGGACTCATGAACATTCGCTACAAGTGAGGCACTTGGATGAAACAACAATATCCCTAAACGTGCCTACTTAACGTGTGTAAACGACGGATCAAAAATTCACTAGTAAATTCGTAGCTGTGCATAATGAAGCACCTTAGTGTTAAGTGATTGGCTAATAGGACCCACTATAAAAATCAAAAGACCAACATAACTTAAAACGTTTAAGTATCTTCAAGTAAAGCAGTCCTTAATATAAAAGTTCGGTAGTAAAATCACTTCAATCGCTTTTCAGATATAAATACCAAAACAAATATTTAATAATGTAAAAAAAAAAAAATATCGCAATAGTAATTTCGAAATAAAACTGCGATCACATTTTATTATTTGAAATTCCTCAAGTCAATTCAATGTTACTTTTGTAATACTAAATAATTGCTTTGTTTCACTACATTTCCTATTCAAGTAACGTACCTACAGATGCTATTATATATACACAATTGTTATTACGTTTGAAAAATATTCACGTACTTCACGCTACAACTATTTGACATGTGATAGAGATTGTGATAGAAAACAATATCAACCGATTATTCTCAATAACTTAAGCTTTTTAGGTTTCACATGACAAAAAGTGTTAGTTTTATAAAACTACTAAGTACTGATTATTAAATAAACTAAAATCAGAAAAGAAAACCTGTTTAAGTGACGTTTGAGTACAGTTTGAGACGTGCTTAACTTTTTTGATACTCAATTCAGAAACCGGGTGTATAGATTGCGTTTGCTTTACTGAGTGTACTGAGTTTTGTTGTCTTTTGATCATTCAAAGCAACATATGTTCCGACAACGATTACGACTTTAAACGTTCATAATTACTTAAATCGCTATATGTTAAAACGGATTGCGATAGATTTTGAAATTAGACAATTAGGCTATAGATATAGTCCTTCGAGCCGGATCGCCAAAAAGATGTGGCACTTAGGACCAGGACATCACAGAGTGAATATTTGTTTATGTACATAATATTACATGTTGAATAGAAACAGAAACCGACACACTAAGAAACAGAAACTGAACAAAATATTCTTAAGATGTTTGTCGATTTTTACTCCAAGCGAACGATGTTTTTTTTTATGATAATAAAGGTTTTTCGCAAAATTGCATTTGAGTAATATAATTAACATTTCAAATATTCCATATTAACTCGAAGACTTCATTGTTCTTTCAAAGATACTAACTAATTAGTATCCTAAATAACCAAACTAAAAGAGCGCAACATAACGTCATTCACGCAAATGCATTTATGGCCTCATGAGTTACTATTTATAAGAATTGTTTAGTTATTAATATTTAACTTGCATCATGAAAATGCTGTTAGTTATTTCATTGGCTTCATTGGTGGGTTCTTAGTCAATTTATTATAGAGAGCAAGACATACCTATTTAATTTGTAAACAGGGATTCGTTCTAATACATTATTAATTCGCATAGTCCGACTACAGCGATTTTAATAATACAGCTTTTAATGGTACAGATTATCTTAATTTTCTGTCAATACAAAAAGATTGTAAAAATATGTAATCACTCTACCATATAATTACTAAAATCGTGTGAACAGTCAAGCGAATTTCGGCTTCCATTATTTTTTTGTAGCACATGTAATTGTCGTAGTACTCGTAGACGTTGTAGCATTAAGGAAGTATCGTAGCAAACCATAGCTAGAGCGAGAGAGTTGGTAGCGGCGCGAGCGCCAATTTCGGGCGCTAGGTGGGTGTGGCGGCACTTGATACTGGTGGGATTCGTATACCGCCATGTCGCCTCAACAGCTCCGTCACAGTTATAGCCACTTGTACTGTCCCTTTACCCTCGAGTACGTCAGCCGCGCAACACATTAGTTTCTGTCGACAAATGGGATGTCAAATAAAAATTAAATTCTCGATAAAAGCAAAATATTTAAAAAATAATATAAAAACGCATTATGTAAGTTAGAATAAGATAAAATTGTTATTCATTCTGGCGACATTTCTCCGCGTTATGCACGGGGACAATACGAGAATAATAAATAGGGTGATCTTAAATTAGGTACAGATATTTTTACAGCTGCTAGAACTCAGCGTTTGGAGTATAAGTATAAATAAAATATTATAGTTTTTATATTTTAGGAGAAAATTGTGAAGCATATTTGCCACATAAAAATATCATGTTACTAAGATGGTTAAATTATAATTCTTTGAAAACATTCTAGAACCTTTAACAATCACTTAACCGGCCACTTCACAATGATAAATGGAACACTATGTCTGATTATGTATGATGAAGACATTTTTTTTATGGCAATAATGTGTGAACAATTTGCCAATGTCGAATTGTTTGTAGAGTTAAAGTAAAAGGTAAGAGTCTCATAAAATAGAAAACATATTTACGCGAGTACAAATTACATAAAGACATTTAAGTCAAAACAGACATTTGAATAAAAAGAAATCAGTTGACGAGACATAAAATGGTAAAACATATTTTCATTTAAAATGTATACGATGCAATAAGAATTATTTTTAGACAGGGTTTTATTTATTTTATCCGATAAATAAAATTAAAAAAATATAATGAAGTTTTCTTAATTTCTATATTAACTTGTGTTAATGAAAGGTCTCTCTTAAAAATTGTTAGTCAATTTGTTAGCATCCGATATATTTAAAAATCTCGCTCGGGAGGAGCGACGACGACTTTAGGCACGTCAGACGGAGAGACCTACGTTTTCCCCCTCTTCATCAAGGCAACCACGACCACTCTGACAAGAGTACCCAAAAAGATATGAGGCCGTCAGCGCAAAAGTAGCCTAACCTACAATTTTCCATATCCATACTTATCAATTGCAATTAATTTAAAATTCAATAAATTACGATCCGGAATCGGCCTATCCTTATTTTCACATAGGATTAGATAGGTTTCGCATGTGAAAATAGAGCTAGGCTGGTTTTAATCATATTTTATTAAAATAAGAAAATGTGGGTTAGGCCTCATATATTTGAAAAATATCAGGCAGATTTTTCGTGACTGAGATTTTCCCTTCAAATATATATTGTTGCCTTATCTTCAAATATGTTATTTAATTCATATGGATATGTTGTGGCAAATAAAACCATGGCGTATTAATTAAAATTTTATTTTAAGTAGAGAAAAAACACTGTAAGTACATAAAAAAATTTAAACCTCTTAAACGGCAAAAATAAAAAACTTTACAAATACAACGTATCAAATTATGACTTTAAAAATGCCTAAGTAAGTAACGATATAACTTAATACTGTAAAAGTACATGGAAAATTTTAATATAAAGTACAATGATGGGCTAAATTAATTGTTACTTCATGAGAAATTTATAAAAGTAACATCATTTTTATTTTCTAAATCATACTGATATGCATTAGAATTTCTCAAATTCTTCTCGAATACAAAGTAAAATAAATTCAGCTTTAATAAACTACACAAATAAGTACCCAAGCACCACAAGCTAATAAATATTATAAGCTTTAAAATGATATATTAGTAATCTATAATCTTAATTAAATGTATTATTATATTAGCGTTGTACTTATAACTTTAAAGCTCAAAATAACTTTTATGTTAAGAGAAGGGTACAGTAGAACCATGTTTATAACTTACACAGATGTTCATAACTTCATACGCATAAGGTTCATTTTGAAAGGCGAAATTTTTTTTAAACAATCTTAACGTCACTTAATTTCATTCGCACTGTCGGTGAAGCAACTTTACCGACGCAATACTGACACAGGTCCGTTTCAATGATAATTGGCTAGTTGACTGTTTTGGACAAAGTTTTTTAAAATATTTCGTTTACACTAAACCACTTAAAGATTTATTTTTCTCTAAAAAGTGTTATTAGATAAAGAAAAAACATATTTTATCCATTAATTTGAATTGCCTACGAAATCAATCAAGTCACATGACACTGTAAACCGTGACGTCACATTTCAATAAACATTAGCTCATTAGCCACAGATCGACCCAAGCTCGGGTGAATTTTATTTTTGCGGTGAGTGCAAATGAATATTTTAATTGTAGCTGCTGGTTATAAAAATGGTAGTACTGTACTTGTAATAAAAAATATATGACCAGATTGAAATACAGCATATACAACAGTAATCACGGTGGCTAGAAAGGCATTTCTGTCTCACAGAATAGTATAATAAAAAAGTTCTTATAGACTACACACTAAATATTGTAGGGCATTAACTAAATTTATTACGAAAAAACCTGTAGCTACTTTAAATAAATGTTCAGATCAATGACAATTGAGAGCATCGGATCATTCATCAGTCCATTACCATCAACTTGCCGTATATCCTTAACTACGATAAACAGCTACAATTGAAAGCAGAAGAATGTTAAAAAAATTAAGAACATATCTAATTATATTACATTAAACATTGTGGTTATAAAATGTATCTTACAGTCTTCGTTACATTAAAACATCTTTGGAATGATAAAATCGTAAATACAGTAATCTAACTTGGCCATGATGAAATTTTATATTAGTGACAAAACTAATTAATACTCACTAATACAAAGTGGTGGCATAACAAATGGATGTTGTTTTTGTATTTGTAAGACTGTTTTAAATGTCTTGTAACTTTCCGAAAAGAGTATCCACCCACTGTTTTTTAATGCCAATATACCATAACTCATGATGAGATTCAAGTGCATAGAAAACGTATTATAATAATTCCATTGTCTTTTTATTTTATAATTAGTTTATTTAACGCTGCTCTAGTAATTTTATAGATATATGTTCAGGTATATTCGAGAGGTAGAATCAGATTTCAGCATCAAAATTCAAAAATTTTTAAGATTTTCGTATAGATCGGTTTAATGGGAATTATTTCTTAACATACAACTTCTGTTTTTTAAGTATCTTGTCTTTTGTCAGCAATTCACATACGACGAATTAAGTTAATATTATTATTTTTCCTGTGCATTTATCCAAGAAAAACGAACATTTCCGCATTTGAAATATTATAAAACTAAAAGGGCCTAAAGGTGATAATAATGTGTTATATAAAGCTGTACGCTTTAGGGTTAAAGCTGTTGGCTTTATATAACACATTATTAACTTTGTTAAATTATGCTATCGAATAAAAAACAACATATCTCACCGAGAACAAAAAAACAAACTCATCAGCTTTATAATATTACAAACTACGAATAACGATATGAAGATACGATTAAGGCATACTAATTCTTATTTTATTTTTCACCATTTAAATTTAGTTCTTTCTATTATGTATTTGTTTAAAATTACATAATTATAATGCACCTTTTTATAATAGCATCATTTTTGGTTCTACAGTTTACTGATTATCTATATTCTGATTTAATATATTATTAATGTTTTATACCTATCGAACGACTTAATAAGTTGGTTCGTATATACGCAATGATTGCGTATTAGTTGTTCAAATACACCAAATACAATCAATCACTTTAAAAATTACATTAATAGAACACATCTAAGTAGCAAGCGTAAACATTTTATAAAAGGGGAAAAAAACAAATAAAGCAATGAGATCTCTGGAATAGCACATTAGATCAAAACAACACACAACACAGATTATAATTAAGAAAAAGAAAAAAGAATGTCTTAACCTTATTTTAAATGCATCATCGGAATGATATTTTAAAAATCAAATGGGAATCGTATAAATTGGGAATATTATGAATTCCCGCTAAAGGACAGATTCTTATTCCATTGTAAACCTAGGGGGTCTACCACGAATAGTAATATACAACCAAGGTAGCCACCTTAGTTAGACATCAATGAGTCCATCGATGTACGATCGGCAAATAAATGCGTTGTATTTTACACCTTATAGTATGGTTATGTATGGTTGAACAAGACCTATTATATATTTTGGAAGATTCACTATATGACATTATAAGGTGGAACTCACTGTAATTTCATTAATATGAACTTCAGGTTAATTTTGATATTGGCAGTCCATTTATTAATTATCGTATCATCTAACTATTCAAAATGCGCACGTTCTTACGCAGTTGCATCAACTTTATGGGCTTCGAATTCGAAGTAAATGATAACTGCATAAAGTTCGCGCTAGACCCGCAGATGACCCATTAAAGGAGTTACAATTACTAAAAAGATAAATTTAATAAACTTTAGAAAATATTAAAAGGATTTCGTATGAAAAACGGAAGAACGCGAACTCCCTTTTACACAAAAACAAAATTTGACAAAATATTCGATTACATTGGAATGGATAACATACTTCCTAACATTATCCTATTAATAAAAAAAACTACATACAAAGATTGGGTGCGTTTAGTATCTTTAGCACGAAAAGTCATTAAGTTGATGAATTTAGAGCAAATTGATTTTTTTTTTGTACTGATATCTGCATAACGCCACCTATCTCCATAAACCGAACTAGTTTCTTTGAGATTTGCGCTTGTTAAAAATTTGATTGACACTCAATAATTTTTCGTACTAACTTCACAGTATACCTTTATCGTGACGATTTTTTTTTATTACAACTACATACTAACAATACAAATAGGTACCAATTCCTTTAATCACATTTAACTAGCCTCCACGTTACAATACAAATACCGATCAGTTTCGAATCAGACTTCACATACATAGACAATATAAATTCCCACTAACAATAGCAAGCAGCCTCTAATTTCCTCAGACTATGGTCACAGTCGAACTGTGGATAAATAAGGCAATAGCTGCGTTAGTTACACAACGCATTAATTTTTTTTTTGTTTGCTTCGCGCATACGACTTTTATATCTTAACAATAAGATGTTTTTTTTAAGCGTGATAATAATGTGATTGCATTTATCTTTCAGATAAATAATTTTACATACTAGCACTTGGCTATATGCACTGTTACTACAAAATTAATAATATAGTTGCCACACAAAAATGGAATTTAAAAAGTTTCATCAACGTTTGAAAATCTATTGCGACAATAGTCAAATATAATAAAAAAGTTTAAAAAATCCCCAGATAGTATATAAAAACTTTAGTATATCAGGCTTATTTCACTTTAGTCGTCATTACAGTTACAGAGGATACATAATCAATAAAATGGCAGATATAAAGAATGTGCCGAGGCAAAGGCAAGTGTAGAGCAGTCTGTCGTCTTGTTCCGTGACTGTTTCAGTCTGTAATTTAAGATCCCTGTTGTGATTGTTCTGAATGTCGAGATTCATCTTCGCCCTGTCGTATCTCTCCACTTCAATATCCCGCGCCAGCTCAATAGGAAAATCCACTTCGTCCGTATCGTATATCTCAAAGTTGTCATTTTTCAACACTGGATCAGTATAAAAAGGCTGAACGAATTGAACCTTGTTCGTCTGATAATAAGGGCCTCGGCATCTGATGCCGTCGTCATACACGGGCGAGTATGGTCCCACTGCGTCAACGTTATTGTTTTCGTAGTTCAACTCTTCGGTCTCATCTATCGTGTAATTGGCGGAATCAGAATATCTCTCTGCGTAGCGGCAGAGCTGTCGCCTGTAATAATTGACTTCTACGGCATGAGAGTGGTAATCGCTTTGATGGATTTCATTGTCGTGGTAGTCATTTCCGTGGACATCATACCCACGGCCTTCATTTACATGGATGTCCCTCGAGCTGTCAATCACGTGGTAGTCACTTCCGTGGTAGTCACTTCCGTGGATGTCACACCCGTGGACGTCATTTACGTGGATACATTCGATATCGCATCGTTTCGTGTAAGGGTCAGGCCGGATATTCGCGTGCCTCGGGGAGGGCGTGGCGTGTGCGAGGAGTGCGGAGAGTGTGCGAGCGAGAGGCGCGACCCGCGACGTCTCCAGAATGTCTTCAGCAGAACAGATGAACTCCTGCAACACACGCCACCCTTTTCTATAGTTATTCTATACAATCTTTGGCACGCGATATATCAGGCGTGACCCTGCAATAAACGGACATGCATAATGTAACGTTAAAAACGATCGAGTTTAATAGTCTTACATTTCAAAAGATATGATATGGTCACCCAATATCTGATTAGAATAAGGATAAATTGTTCGTAAGTAAAAACGATGAATCAACGAGATTACACAACACAAAATAAAAGCAAAGAGTAATAGATATATTTTTTTAATTAAAACTTACTTCCTCAACTCCGATTTTCCGGCAGGCCTCCAAGAAGTTGTCTACGTTTCTTCTACACCTGGCCATCGTGAGTTTTGGCTGAAAATAAATTAAGCTGTTAATGACAACAGTATTACCAATATAGAGATATTAAAAAGGTTAAAGTTGTTACTAACAACATCGAAAAACACATTGTTCAGTCTCGATTGATTCGTTTAAGACACGGTTGATTTATAAAATTCTAACATCATTTCATGTTTGCATTGGTCCATTATGTCATTTAGGAACTGATAGTGTAATTTTTCGACTTCTGTCATTACTAGACGTCATCCATTAATAACGTAAGACAATTTTTGCCAGTTTTTGTCCTTTTATGTTAGAAAAAATAGAACACCTACCCCCGCCTCCTTTTTAGTATTTATTTCGTAAGAATGTACAGTCAATCTGGATTGTGATCAGATGAAAGTAGCTAATTGTTAAAAAAAAAAACAAACTATCTGGTTAATATGTGATCCATTTCAACCTGGCATCGATCAACACAAGATCACGGGGATTGATTTGATTTCAGATTGATCAACTAATGGTTCGTTAAGAAAACTAAGTTCATTATCTTTATAAGTGAAAACATGTCATTGGTGAACAGTTATCGTTAGAGTATTAAGTATTTATTTATTTGGAAAAGTTTTTAATATTTGTACATCTTATTCCACACTATGACATCTTAATAATTTGAGAATATAGCTCACAAATTTAGGTAACGAGTCGTGGAAAATATCGATCACTTTAATATTATTAACATTAAGGGAGTTTTACCTCTCACAGCAACGAAAGAGTGTAGCATTGCGACCCATGTTTGTGCTGATTGAAGGTAAAGAAAAAAATAAGTATAGGCTGGCGAGGTAGACGCGAGGGAACATCTAGTGAGACACTTTCCATGAGATGGTTACAATTTAGTATCCATTGAGAAGCCTATGCCAAAACGATAGATCAAGGACAGTTCGCCGCTGTTGCAGAGAGCGAATGTTGAAGAACAATTACCGTTGCTCATAAGGAGTTCTATGCGATATACCGGGTTTGTTTTCGTAATAAAATAATTTGAAAAAAATAGTCGATCCCCGCTCTACAATCAAATCACCTTAAGGATTAAAAACCAAAGGAGCAAATGTTCATTATAGAATTAAATTCTTTTAGTGTAAACAGTATTAGAGCATTCGCTCGTTGCTCTGTCTGCGTTCGCACAGATTCTTTAGAACATTCCAAGAATGCTCGTTCGCTTGGTGTAAACGGCACTAGAGCATGAGAACATTTGCTTAGAACGTTGTTGCGTGTTCGGACACGCTCGCTCGTCGGAGCGGTCTCTTCAAAGCGTTAGTATTCTAGAATTTGAGTACACATAGCTATCGATTACATGAGCATTCGTTTGATCTAAACGTTGTACTCAATTCTAGTTCTTGGTGCGAGATAATTCTTGCTCTTGATATACTTTAATGTAAACGCTTATACCGAACTTTCGTATACACCAGAAGAACAAGAGAGGACGCTCGTGTTCTTGCTTCTTGGTTCGTTTGGTTTGCATTTAAACCAAACGAACCAAGAATCAAGAACTTTTATGAAATAAATTGATGGCACAAAAAAGGCAAACAGTACCTGTGCAGGCGAGGGCACGTGCACCGATGCCACAGAGCGTGGCCGCACGTGGTTAGCGAGGTGACATAACACCACGCCATCTGACAGCACAGGAGCTAACTGTTCCGGCAGCGACATCTTCAGGCGGCTCTCTATTATCTGTAAAACGTTACACTGACATCACCACGACCTGCCAATCATTAGGTGTAGTAGAAGAAGATGAAGAAACATTTAATGATTTAACATAAGCACAAACAAGAAAGAACATTATTTGGAACATATATAACAAAGGCACGAAAGTAACAGAAATAATGAAGTAATGACATATAAAAGAAACTGAGATCAGGGACCGGGACCCTGCCTCAGCTGGTGTTGACACAACAAACGTCCATTAGGGCTTAATTATGCCTTTAAGCTCTAATGAATGTCAAATTTGTATCAGTAATATCGCTTTAAAATAATGTCATTTTTAATAGACGTTTGTGCAACTGGCTGTAAGAGAAGTGCCATAGAAGTAAGAAGTAGCCGAGAATAGGATAATTTTAATTTATTGGAGTCATTGTCACTTTTCATATCGAGACTTTAGTAGCTCAGTGGCATAGTGGATAAGCGCCGCGAACCACGACTGTTGTTATTAAGACACGCAAGGGATGGGTGACCAAAAAATATCGAGCTCCTCAAGAAGGCACGATAAGTCGTTGGTCCCAGCTGCCATTACAGTCATCGATACCCTCCAATCCGCATTGGGCCAGCGTGGAGGGAAATGGCCCATCCCTTCCTAGTGCAGTGGGAACGTAAAAGGACTGATGATTATATCGAGACTTATAAATAATAATTCACAAGGTTTGCATCAGTATTTTTCAAACAGTAATATTTTGTTCTATCTTGTAGTATTATGATGTTTAATATTGTCAAACTAGTCTCAGGTTAATTTAATTCTAACAGCAAATTTCGTCTGCCAACTAAAACCAATAATATCAGCGAGTCTCTTTGTATTCAGGAGTAAACAATAGATCTTTGCCAATCTTCTGAACTAAGATTACCCAACAGCATGTGCTCTAACCACTTGCCTAGTATTAAAGACGGTATTTCTTCGACGTTTGTCCAGAACTACTTGATCATAGAACTGTTCATAAAATTCTTTGTGCATATAAAACACTAAAGTGCGTGAATTATTATAGCATGTTCTCTAGCTTCACGAATGATCGTGAATCGGACAGAGCATACAGTTTCGGCACTGACAGCCATCATTAAAATAGCAACAAAAGCCGTGTATCTAACTGTCATATTTGATCGCTGCAGAATTTACGAAATTTTAAAACTTGACATTGAAGACAAAAGACTTCGAATCGGTTGTGAAATCTTCTCCACCGCATTCCTAAATATAAAAGAGGCCAATAGTTCCCTAACTGCAGAGATTTAAAAATCATACCCAGACTTAGAATCTATCAAATAAATTCATTGTTAAACTTACCACCCTAAGCTGTTGTAGTAATTCCTCCTCTTCCTTCTGCTTATCGAATTCCCTCTTCATCGTGAAGCTCAGCTTATCAGAAGCCTCCTTGTTCCACGCCATCTTTCCCGTAGGCTTTGGCGGCGCACCTTTCAAATACGATACGCTCGTCGTTAACAACTTAGCGCCATCCCCATTAACCCTCGGTATACTCGACTTTCCCATACTATTATAACCTAAACTATTCGTCGGCGACTTCGTCGGTGAAGTCGGCTTCACATACGCCTCAGCCTGACCGTTCACACGATTGTAATCTATATTCCCATTGACGTTGCTATACATTTTGTTTACGTTCCTAGATGGCACCACTTTCTGTACTGGCCGTTTGTTCTCCTCTTTCTCGCTGTTCCCATTTTGATTCTGGAACCTTCTGGGGGTGGAGTGTAGGAGTGGGGAGTTTGGCACGTGTGAGGTATTAGGGGATGAGGTAGAGACACTGGAGTTGGATGATATGGATCTGTATAAACTCGGGGATACGTTACTGTAGCCATTTACGGGTGAGTGGGGGGAGGAGTTTGCGTGAATCGGACTTTGGTTCTGTGACTGTGGGGACGAATCCAAATCTGGCGAGGGTTGGTCTGTGCGGGGCCGGTAGACGTCTTGCTGTCTTTGTTGTCTTAGGGCTTCTTTGTATTGTCTGTAAAATGATTTAGATATTCAAATTTCCGTTGACACGTTTAAGGATGAGGATTTGTTAATAACACTTAGAGTTATTTATTTTTTGAACAGCCATGTTTGAATGATTAGTTGTTTAAATGTATATACACAAATAAATCATTACTAAAATACTCATAAGAGGATATAATAATAAATAACACGATTAATACCTCAAAAGCATCATAAATACCCATGTGTTAATTGGAATTATTATCATAATTTTATACAATGGAAATTCTAAGTGTTATAAGTAATAATATAATAGCGACACAGCAATAAAAAGTTAGTGCGGCATGTGCGTGAGTTGTGCGTATGAATGACCATATACCTGTAGGTTTGTTGGTGGACTAATTTACTCTTATCGTCGCCATTGGAAATGTTCCCTTCGGGTGATATACGGAGGCTGAAAGGGACAACACCGGGGGTTAATAAAAAACGACAGACTTTCTCTTTAAACGAAACGAACCTAAGCGAACAGTTTGAGAATAGCCGTTAGAGTTTCGATAGTTAGGTGACCAAAAATATAATACAAAAAGATAAGCTGTAGAACAAGTATATCTTTTTTTATTTATTTATTACAGTTTCTGTCTATCAGAAAGTATAACTGGATTTAGAAGACTGGCGTGTTCTTACCGTGCGAATCAATATGACGATGTATGTAAGTCACCATATAGAAATGGCCACGCCTCTAAGCGTGGAGTGGCTGGGTGTTCATTTCACGTCTGGCTACTTTTTCTATATCTAAGGTTTATTTATTATATCGCTTATTGAATAGCTTGTCATAGATGACGACATACATACATTTAGCCAAGAAAAAGTTAAAATCATAAATGCTATCATAGTGGGATATGACTATCAAAGTGACGTTATGGATGGGGAAAAAACCCGACGTTGTGTACACTCTACTTCAAAATATATAAATACCTAAGAAAAGCAACCTTATCGTTATCTGATTTAGAACACAATTTCAATCTATAAACACGTTTTTAAGGCGCTACTGCTCTGGGAGAAAACGTGACATATAACAAACAATGTTTTCCAAGTAAATTTGAACTTTAATAATACTTAAAATTACAGTTAGATAAAATATAAATTACATAACCTATCGAAATCTATGTTCCGTTTCGTTTTAGAGAAAGTCTCTATAGAAATAAATAAAGAAAAAAATAGAAAAAAAGAATGGATAGAGGGAGTTAATGGTGACTATGACGAATCGGGCTAAAAATTAGTCTTTACCTCTGGTTCGGCCAATGCAAAACAAATAAAATAATTCAACATAAATATGATTCCCAAATTACATCTACTGAACTAAAAATTTTTTTTTTTTTACTGATGGGCCAACCTGGAAAAAGATACGACATAAAAATACGCATAATTACTATAGATAGATGGATACATTATTTGAATTATAAATAATTTAATAAACTTTTTCCAGATTTATGTACCCTTTCCCAAATATATACTTATTTTTAATTTCTTACATAATGCCCATAATAAATAGATAATTCAAATAATATCACAGCTTTATAAAATTATTAATAATCATGAAATCCTTAAAATGATTTCACAATGAAAATTATTTGAATATTTATACAAAGCAAGAATATAGGTTTCATAATGACTGTTATTGTGCAGACTATATATGTACCAAATTATATTTTACCAGTGAAAATGTTTTCCTTAACAATCATGCTTTTCTTATTTAATTAATTACAAAATATAGACACAGGATATCCAAAAGTATAAAGAGCAGAATTGTTGTCAATATATTTAAAGCATGAATCTGTTTAATGGAAGCAATCATCTTGTTCCGTTTAAATTTATTATTATTATAAAGATTAAAGTTTGCATATAAGATTAAAGTATTAAGAAAACATTATTATAACAAAGAAAAAATATATATTTGATTCTGCATGACGCATTTGAAATGGAAATAAGACACGATGCCTTATTAGGAATGGTTATTTTACTTACCCGGTTAATATTGGTGTCAGCGGAGCTAGTGGTGTTTCACTTGAAAGCGATTGTGTCCTGGATAGAGCAGCGCCCGGAGATAGAGTGGAAGGTGTGCTGGGTGTGGACCGACCAGAACCACACCCCCCACCCGCTTCGCCTCCCCCTGAGGAACAAAACATAAATATTGTTAAACTAATTCGGTTTATTTTTGAACCGGTTCAACATAAATACATGCGGAAGTTTTTAGAAAAGGTTTAGCTCTGGATCTAGTTTTAATCCAGAATAAAAAACAAAATATGATTAAATTTATACATTGCCTGATATTAACCGGTTCAAATATTACAACCGGCAATGATCTCGATGGTAACCGCAGTACTAGGTATTTAATTGTTCATAAACTAAACAGTTTTGTGAGAGCGTGAGTGCTACACGTTCTTTTCGGGTTTATACGTGGTGGTGGAGTTCAGATACAAATAATCTTAAGAAATAATAAGGTTAATTATGAACCGGTATGAAGCGCTATCGGTTTCGCCTGTTTTGGGAAATACACTTCTGTATCGTTTTAACCGACTTCAAAATACAAAAGGAGGAGGAGGGTATATATACGACGACGATGTGGTTTTTTTTTTATGTCCATTCACCGATATCTCCGCCAATTGTTGACCTATTTTCAAAATTCTTTTTTATTCAACAGTTTGGACCGAGGTGGTCCCATTTCAATTGTCTTGTAATCGAATCACTAGTTTTTTACCATATCACTTATCACCTATATAATATCACCTAAATATTTATATAATATGTTTTGCATTTCATGTATTTCAGCTAAAACACCAAAGATTGCGTAATTTGAATTCATTCAAAATCTGAAAGGAGAATTTTCTATATTCAATCAAGGAGTGTATATATTTTTTACGAAAGTAGGTATGTCACCGATTTCTTCTTGAATTGTGAACCAATTTCTATGAAATTAACTGTTTCCCGACTTCGTCTGCGTAAATTATAGCCTATCTCCAACGCGTATTATGTAGTTTTCTGTAGATGAAAGATTTTTATAAATAGGTCTAATAGTTTCGGAGCCTATATAATACAAATAAACAATATCTTCGTTTCTAACTCACTATGTTGAATATTTTTATTTTTATAGATATTTAATATTTTTAATGTTACCTATTAATATAAAAAATCAATATACTAAAATGCATGAAATAAAAACTAAAAAAATAGAACCGTCTTCAAACTTTAAAAAGTATCTAATAAATAATAATTATCTCAAAAGCGCCTATCATTTAAAAAACTTACAGAAGACCTCCACCCAACTTCAATAGTAAGTCGCTTTAGAGACAAGTATTATTTATCACTTTTTTAAAATAATAATATTTTAATATTTGATATTAATATAAATATTAAAATCTAATATAATTTTTAATTTTTTTACTTTTTATTATCGCCCGCGAACAATAATCGGAAATCTCAAGTCTTTTTCTTAAGGGCCCTCCCCTACACCATATTTTTATTGAGATGTGATATTTTAAAAAATAATAGCAGTTTTTTTATTAAAATAAGACATCTCAACAATGTTTTGTTGAAAGAGCCTTTTAAGAAAAAGAAAGGACTTGAATTAGGCTTGTTTCCAAATTTTTAATGTGCTTTGCCGATCATAATGTCTAATTTATTATACTTCATAAATATTTACAAAATGTTAAGTAATATAGAGATTCATATTTATAAAAGCAAACCAAACGCCTATCATTTAAAAAACCTACAGAAGCCCTCCACCCAACTTCAATAGTAAGTCGCTTTAGAGACAAGTATTATTTATCACTTTTTAAAATTAATAATAGAAATATTAAAATCTAATATAATTTTTAATTTTTTTACTTTTTATTATCGCCCGCGAACAATAATCGGAAATCTCAAGTCTTATTCACTAAGGGCCCTCCCCTACACCATATTTTTATTGATATGTGATATTTTAAAAATAATAGCAGTTTTTTTATTAAAATAAGACATCTCAACAATTTTATGTTGAAAGAGCCTTTTAAGAAAAAGAAAGCACTTGCATTAGGCTTGTTTCCAAATTTTTAATGTGCTTTGCCGATCATAATGTCTAATTTATTATACTTCATAAATATTTACAAAATGTTAAGTAATATAGAGATTCATATTTATTATAGCAAACCATATTTGATGATATGTATATAGTTTACCCATTTATCATTTTCTATTACTACGTTGTTTGCTTTATTGATACAATTTAATGAAAACAAAGCCAGCAGCTTAGCGTCTATTTTTAAAGGGCTATTCCCAGCGAGCACAGGATAAAATGCTTATTTGTTTTAGTTCGTGGTATCACAATCAAAAAGCAGTAACATCAAATATTTTAGAATTTTTAACGGGAACATATGGTATGATATGCAGAGACTTAAATCATTCCGTGAGTTTTCAATTAAGGCAGAGTCTAAAGACAAATGAGAAAACTGAATAGAATTAGTCGCCCATCAATGACAGTGACAGAGAACGGCATATTGCGCTAAATTGCATCAAAAACTTTTTTTTAATTAATTACTTCGCAAACCTTGATTTTAGTAAAAATTATCAATCCTGCCTACTTTGCCTAAGTTACTCATATATTTTTAAATTTTAAATATAAATTTTTGGAATGTTGAATTAACTAATGTAATTACGCCACTAATTATTCATGAGATATGTTCCAATCCTAACATTTTATACGATATTAATACATTTATACTTGATATTTTCTTTTCAAAATAAACCGTTATAACTGGACGTCAAATCAATTAGAAAGGGATTCTTATTTCGAATCAACCTCATTTTGAACATTGCGATACATCTCAAAAAATGTTGACAACGTGAAATACATTTTATAATAAACTAGCGACACTGTGATATCTAGCCGGTATTAACCGGCAACCGTTAAAAATTGATGACTTTAATAATTTTACAGCTATCGCAAGTTCTGCAAGGTGACATCTGATTCTACTAAATACTCACCATCATTTGACCACCTCTTGTCAACACCATCTGTACAGTATCCACTGTCGATGACGTGTCTCGGCTTATGCCTGAGACAGTCAATCGTGGCGTTCCCGGACGTGATCTGATGCGTCGTCGACTGATTCGGCGAGTTGTTGATATACGATGTATGCTTAGCTGTCCTTTTTGTTTCCTCTACTCTCTTATGTTGAGGTATGTTGTCTTTGCTTGCCGTGTTTTCTAAGTACTTGAATATATGCACACGCCCGCGCATGCAAACCTGATAAAGGCAACGACGTTGAAACAGGGGACTGTTATATATTAAACAAAACGTGCTTAAACACCAGGAGCGACTTTGTAATTAGTTCTAGTTTATAAATGAAGCCGAACTTAAGAATCCTTGTGCTGAAAATACTTACTGTGGTAGGAGGTGAAACTAAAGGGTTGTTGTCTAAGTTCAGGGTAACGAGTGAGTTCATATTCCGAAGCTCTAATGGCAACGATGATATACAATTACAACTCACATCCAAGTGTTCCAGTCTTAAATACGTAATTTCTGAAAACCAACAAAGTGATACAAATTAACATACAATCCATTTGATTGCAAAGTAATAATCAAATAGTTTATACTCACGTAAAGGCAAAAGTCCTAACTGATTATTACTAAGGTCCAACGCCCTTAAACCAGCGCAGTCTCCTAGAGTCATTGGCACTTGTGTCAGCCTATTGTTTGAAGCGTCCAGTTCTGCCAGTGACGTCATCTTGCCAATTTCCTTTGGCAGTGTAGAGAGCATGTTATCCGGGACTAGTAGCACTTGTAATGGCATCTGACATACTTCTCGGGGCAGCTCTGTCAGCTGATTTGAACTGTTGACAAAGAGATTAAGCTCCTATAAACACATGTTAAATAGTATACCAAATTAAAAACTTAAAAACATGGAACTGACTTCAAATTTAAGTTGAATTAATTTTTTTTTAGTTATTACTTCATGCATTTTAGCGACATTTTGATTTTTAGGGTAACAAACATCAAGCATATTTAATGCAAATTTAAGAATTATATAGTTTTCTCATATATGCCATTGCCTGATCTGGACCAATTGAAATAGGACCACACAACAAGCACTAGCTTTCAAATAAAGAAAGAATGATCAAAATCAGTCCACCTAGTAAAAAGTTCCGAGGTAAGAAACAGAAAAAAAAGTCGAATTGAGAACCTCCACCATTTTTCGAAGTCGTTTAAAAATTTACTTACTTGAGGGTATACAAAATTGTATTTGACATTATCTAACGCTATCCAGATACAGGAGCAACGCTCGATAATGTAAACAAATGCACGCAATCGCAACATGTTATTTAAAACTATATTTGAAGAAACCCTACTAAAGGATAGTATGCAATTAGATCAGATGGAACATAAGTCATTCGACGCTCAATCTAACAGCACTTGAGTTCGTGCCAAGAAAACTTGTAAACATTGATGTTAATATGCCGAGTGTACTGAACTTCCTGTATTTGATGCGGTGTAGAGATATAAAACCTTTCACACTATTGACAGATTACCGAGAAGCAGAAATCGTGAATGATTAATTCAATATTTTGAACCCTTAATAACATATTAGCGTGATGATATGCTTCGGGGCATAAAACTAAACCAATTAGAGTATGAATTGAGGAAATCAAAGAAGTGAAAGCGTTGTCTTGTAACATTGAAAGTTCTTTGAAAATGCAACAAAGACCCCGTCCTACAGGGCGTATTCCCAAGAGGTAACTTTTTGCAGGATTATTACGTGCCGTCTAGACGCGTACACACTCTGAAACTGGATTCAATACTAGACGGAGAATCGATAAATAGACTGGAGAGGTGAACGAACGTCGACAACTGGGAATTCATTTAGAAAGTGCTTAATTGGACACAAAAATAGAATATACATATTTTGCTCTGTACCGAGTCATATGAAATCATTACTAAATATTAGTTCAACAAACAAGCACCGCTAGTCTGCTGAGATCTCTAACAGAACTCTCAATCAGCAAAACCATTAATTTACCTACATGTGCGTTTGCAAACATTCCATCAATGGGATCAACTCGACACGTTCCAGAGCGACTACCGTTATCATTACACCCGTAAATGGCAGTAGTGCAGTCGCATGAGAAATAAGACACAATCGCCGTCCTATAAATAAGTTCGATAAAAACTTGTATAACTGATCCACTATGTGCAAGAATATACGCTTGTATTACTGTAAATATAATTTAAAATAATATTAGTACAGATAGAAAACAAACTCACTTTTTTACTTTTTTATTTTCCTTTTTTATATGGAAAATATACTAATTACGATAAGATATATTGAATAAGGCAAAAAACATTGGCGGAATACTTATATCCAACAGTCCGTGACAACGAGGAAGGCCATACATAAATGCGGAGTTAATTATTCATGAAAATAATATTGCAATTATTAAGGCAGAGGCGTTAACAAAAACCTTTATTTTTTAATACATTTTATTGTTTGAACAGCTTTGTATAAAATAAATTCATTTAATTCTCAACATAAAAGGCATCAATAAATGACTATATAGTTACACCACTCATAATCGGCTTCACTAAACTTAGGAGTCGCTTAGATCTGCCGCCTAAATATTTAGGAATCGCTTAAGATGAAAATGCATTTCACCAATGGTAGAAACCACCTAACGACATGTATGCAATGGCTAAATCATGATATGCGTTATGAGGTGCCTTGCGCTAGGTATTTCCGTAATATGACAAAACACAAATGTGTCAAGGGATAAAAGATTTTTTATTTTTATTTGGAATTCTAATCTGCTTAGGCGCTTCGCAAGATTAGGCATCTCCTAGTTAAGCTATGTCTTGTTCTAGGTTAGTGAAAACGGGTGTTATAGTTACATCAAAAATTATATGGCGAAGTAATGTCTACGTGGGAGACTGGTGCATGTGAAGTGTGTAGAGGATTTTAGACCCGTATTACACTTCTCACGAAAAAACTATTGAACTAATTTAGATGAAATTTGGTATGTGCCTAGATTAATTTTAGGCTACCGACTAAATAGTTCCCTGCACTAAATAGTAGTAACACGTAAACCACGTAGGCGATGCCGTTGGCGGAGAGCTATTACATATATAATAGGACAATATGTTATCATAAAGAAGTATGACAAATTAATATGAAACCTTAAATGGAACAACTTAAACGGTTTCATCGCGTTTGTAATTATTTAGCTTCGATCCCTTTACAGGTTCCGTGTTCACATAAGACTAAGGTGTTTATTGTCTATTTAATTAAAAATATAGCTGCCTTCAAATCGCACATTCACAATACAAAAGAAAATTATGACAACGTTTACATTTATTCATTTATTTTAAAAATATATTTGACTTATTTATTTACCCCTGGCTACTTGCAAATGAAGGAGTCCTTGTCTGAGTAGAACTGGTGAAACAAACTCTGACAAGAAAAGTGAATTGATCCCTTTGACTTAATATTTACAGAACGAACTAACGGTATCTTTTGGTTTTGCAATGTGTGATCTGGATTGAAATTTTATTTAACTGAATCGCTGGCTTATATGCCAAACTTCATCTCTATTAAATAAAATAAAAATATTTTATTGAGTAGCCTCGTATCAATCCTTTTTAAACCTTTTTACTGAAGTGTGTATTAAACTAAGGCTCAACTTAAACAAACCAGTCGTTCGATTGCATCTGCACCAATACTGCATTGTATTCTACTCGTAAAATTCTTTCATTGATACTCATGCATGTCTAGGTGCTACTTTGGAAATGATAAATCACCATTTCAATTCAATCCAATTAATTTCACTGTTTGAAATCTAATCGATTGATATTAATAGATAGCGTTTAAGTGATTACGTATTGTCACGAAAACCAAACGTGGGTGTAAAAATTCAGTTCAATCAGCCGAAGTTAATCTGTTGAAAACTTCAAAATTAATTTATTAATGTCGAATATCCACCACATTGACGAATAAAAGCTTGGAAAAATGTCAGCATTTTTGCTGTTTTACCTTAGATCTATAGCAAATGGCAATGAGCATAGAATATTTAGGCAATGAAAGCCAAAACCAAGATCCTTCATTTCGTTAATAACGTTTCATCACGCTTATAGCACCGGAACTACTTTACTGCTAGGTATTTGCGTTATGAATTTCATAATTGACTGATACAAGTTAGTAGTGAGTTTCTTCGTAAAATGCAAAAGGTAGAAAACGTCGCCGTAATATTTGGATCTTGGCAGTTCATATTCGTCTTTGGTGCTGCAAAGCGTACCAAATAGCCACTCTGTGATACGAAATTGTGCGGAATGTGCGTTTACTTTAAGTTATACCTTTAACAATACCATCATATTTATAGTCAAATATTGTTTTGCAAATGTTTGTAAATACATTAATTATCTTAAGCTTTAATTATTTCATCGAAGTCTCTTGCGCCCATTCATGGCTCAGGTGAATTAGCAACTCATACATGTTTAAAAAAGGTACTCAGTAAAAGCAGTCATCTTTTAAATATCTAATTCACCATTTCTATTTCTGAAACCGAAAACCCTGAGCCTTGAATCACCCAAATTAATAATATATAAGGGTTTCCAACCTGAGCGAAATACAAATCTGGCTTATCATTAAATATTTCTAGAGAGACGATCTAATTTTAAACTATGTATTTAAAGGAGAAATCTTTTAAAGACACATTATTGTTAGGCATAACGTGTTTAAAACTTTCTTTAATAATGCACCGTCTAATGTTCGTTCAATCTTTATAATATTCCAAAATATTTCATTTAATAAGTCTGGCCAAAAATAATGAAAGTTGCTTTACTGACGGAACACTTTTTTTCGTTAAAATTACGTCAAAATCTGTTCCTTTGCAAATCAATTTCTATCATTAGCCTACTCAGGTTTTTAATATTGTGATGAAAAATGTACAACATTTCTGTGTAGGTTAGTTTTATATCATGTATAATGCTTTCGCACTTCTACCTTCAAAGGGAAATTACAGCCAATGCCAACACCATACATCTCCCCTCATAGATCAGCGCCGATTATTTGCTCGTTCCGGATGGGTGGTTCAAGGTCGATGTAATATCGATTCACTTCCTACGAGCGAGGGTCTATAATAACACTACGTTAGGGGAGCTTTCAGCAAATGTTTCTACAAACATCGTTATTAGCTCTCTAATAACGATGTTTGTAGAAACAATTATTTTACATGTGTCAATTTTCACAAATTTATAATCTTTGTAATGTATTTTTTCACTATATTACTAATATTACCAGTCTGGAATTAAAAAGGGTTATTTTATGTGAATTATGCAGAAGATACCGGCAGATCTTCAATACTGTATCATTGAACGTAGTGATTTTTTTTTTTCAATCTGATGTCAACGAAATCGCGGTAGATCCGTTGGTCCTATATCAAATAACCCTCCTCGGGAACCAAGACAACAAACGTACAAAGAAATTTCAAATATTACTAGTAAATCCATTAATCTGAAATCCTAGCAACTAATGTAAAGATGCAATATAGAGTAAAATTTAATCTCGTTTGAAGTGCAGGTGCGTGGGAGAAGCGTGGGCACTTTAGAAGATACTCCATGACTAAGTAATCATCTTTTATAATCAGCTTTCAAATCACCTGCATGCATTGCAAAATAACTTGTTGAATCTTAAAATCTCGCAATTCGCATGCTAATTAGCAGCTGCTTTCTTGGCACCAGCCAAGCAACTTTTTCAATCTCAAACAAACCATATTATTAGATTTCCGATGAGATGACCAAACAGGAATCGGATATTAACATTCTAAAAACTTTACACAATTCACAT